GATACACTCGCACTCCGAGGAAGCCACATATAGAACATGGAACATACATATATATATATAGAACGGCCACAGCGGACTTAAAGTCGCGACTGTTGTTTGCCCAGCATAACGAGATCCCTTTTGGGAAGCCAAAATCAAACAAACTCATATATAGTACATAAAACCGAGAGCCACAGGAACAAATCTGTAGGTACACATGAAGAAATAACATATTACTTTTGTTTGGATATCTAGATATATAAAATTTAAACAAATAACATTTCTTAAAAGAGGGTTATTTGCTGTGAGGAGGTTCCAGAAATTTAAAATTAAAATAAATATAAGGTTTCTAAAGAGGGTTATTTGCTTTGCAAAAGTTACACAAAGAGAAAGAATTTTAATTTTTTTGGAAATTAAATTATAAACAAATTTTAAACTGATTAAAAGAGTATTTTCCGGATCCTAAAAAAATCGAACACAAAATGAAGATAAGTTCATTTGGTCTATAAAAAAAGAGTTATCATAAAAACAGGAAAGCCAAAGTTGACTAATACTATTTTCATAAGTACTCAAATGAGGGATTGCCAAGGCTAACTCTTTAAAAACTAGTTAAAAACCTATACCTACACAGAGAGAAGTATCCAAGAACATTGTTCTTGAATTGAGAACATTGTTCTTGAATTGAGAACATTGTTCTTGAATTGAGATCACTCTTCTAGAATTGAGAACATTCGTTCTTAAAAACCGTGTAAGTACATTTTGGTATCAATATTAGAACAAAATGGTGATGTTATTTAACAACTTTTTGATAAGTATACACTAAGGACTGAACTAATAGTTTATTTGTACCTACAATCTACTTAAATACCGTCAATTCAACTTAATTCGAGCAAAATAAAATCATTTTCAACTTAAAAATGTCGGTCTATTTTTAAGAACATTTTCAACTCAGATGAGAACGTCAGAATTTTCTCTGTGCATATTTTAATTTCTATTACATTATGTTCTATAAATTATTTTTACACTTTTTATATGTTTTCCAATTCCCTAGTTATATTATCTAAGTGTATTTCAAGGCAGAAAATAAGGAGAACTGGGAAGTGGGGGATTGGCAGCATCAACCCTCGGCTTAGATTTCCACTCCATCCACTGTGCGCCACTCAAAAATGCAGCCGGGCTACTCAGAAGTCGATTCTGGGCACGGTTATGCTTTTTTTTTTTGTTCGGGGTTGCTGCCTGCACCCGGCAAGGAATCCAGCCTTATCCAACATAAAGCTATTAGATATCCTTGCAGACATGTATGTGTATGTGTATGTGCTCTTTTTTATGTGTTTTTGGTAATTCTGTAAACAAATGAGTGGGATCTGGGCAGATAGCTATAATATTCGAACTGGGGGAGCTCTGGGCTAACTTAATAAGTATCGCATTAGAGGGAAGAAAATGGGAGTGGGTATATCAAAATACGTTGTTTGAAATAGAAGATGGTCGTGTTTTTCTTTAAGAAATGTGTTTATGGCTTTTTATCTAGTATTCGTAAAGTTTTCTTAAAGATGTGCAAGTTTTGTTTAGATTTTCCTTGCTTTCAATATGTAAAATATATGTAATATATGTATGTATGCAAATGCTATGATAAGTAGTAATATCATGAATATTATATTATGAATTTTCTAAACCTGTTGCCAACTTATAATAATCCATTATCTTAGAGTTTTGCTGTCAAAAATCGTTTGTATTTAAAATCAAAATTCCGAATACATGAAAATAAGTTTCTATATTCCCCGTTGAGTTCCTAACTTTTCTCCTCGTCTGGGCCGTGACTTTAAGGGCTGACCGTTAAATGAGTATCATTAGGTTTCTAAATTCAGCTTCCATTGGCCCCAACATTAACCCCCTCTTAAGCTCGACCACTTTCGAATAGTTTGGGGTCCCAGGCGAGCGAATAAAAACTGAAAAAGGGACCCAGCCGCTGACGTAATAAGCAATACTTAAGACCTAATGCAGGGTATAAAATATGCGCAGCATTCGCAGTCACCTCGCTCCGCCTCCTCGAATATCTCCGGGATACCCGAGGATACAGCCAGGACACCCAGGATACCCAGGATACCCGGGACACAAGGGTTGCCCAAGCACAGTCGTCCTTTTTTGCTCCTTTCTCTTTTTTTTGTTGGTCGCCTGCAGTGCGCGTTTCTTTTGCCGCCGCTGTGATTTTTGATTTAAGCATAATTTTGCAACAATTTCGCCGGGTTCTTTTGGGGCTGCCCGCTGCGAGCACTGAAAAATTTCAAACATTTCTTGAAGGGATTTGCGCAATTTTCCATTTTTTTTTTCCACCCAGCCATCATCTGTCTGATGTTCCCTTTTTTTTTTATAAGGCTCCCCCTCTCAATATTACTCGCATTTAAATGGTTGGCAAATAAACAGACGAACATTTTGCATTTCCATTTCATTGCGTTTGTCTTAAGACCTCTGTCTGAATGTCTGTGGCAGCTTCTCGGTTTTATTTCCTGCTGCCATTGTCAACTCGGCGTATGATTAATGCGTCAAAGAAGGGACAGCGGAATGAACAGGGCACTGAGAACCTGAAACCCAGAGACCCTGAAACTTGATCTCGCCCCCCCCAACTCACGCCCACAGCGCCAACCCGTTTAATAAATGACATCAAAAAATTAAAATTCGCCGCCGTAGCCGTTATTCAAATTCAAATTTACTAAAGCAATAGAGAGAGATATGCATCTGGATGATGATGATGAATATCAGGGAAAAAGGTAAGCCAGGCAACCTAATTTGACACTTGCCGGCACTCGAGCAAGTTTCCCTGGTTTTATAGAAACCAAACACAAAAAAAATGGTCTACCAACGGCTGAAGAACAGAAAAAGGCAACATGGATCCATGACGTTGTTAGTGGTAACGAGTCGAGTTTAAAGGGGTGACAACCACTCGACTTTTTTCCAAAGCCAAAACACGCTTCGATGGCCTTGTTCGCCGGTTCCATCTTCTAATGAAGGGGTTATTAAGCATTTTAGCATTTTAAATTAAACGAATCCAGCAGTGCGAAAACAGCAGGGGCCTTTAATGGAATTTCAAACATTACTGGAAAATTATATAAGGATAGCATTTTAATTGGAAGGAAGGCAATATAAACATAAAAATAATATCAAATCACTTTAATGTGTTCCATATTAGCTTTACAAAAATATTGTAATCTTTTAACAACAAGTGGTATTTCTAAAAAAATTCTTTATATTTTGTTTAGATCATTTTTAACATTTTTGTTATCAAAAATATGTGAAAATTAATATTTACGTTCACTAGTTTTTCCGAGGTATTTCCACTCCAATTTTCCTTATGCATTCGCTTTGGGATCAATTTTGGCATAGCTAACAGTTGGTAAACATCGTCATCATCATTCTGACGGAGGGTGACACACTCCTATACTTACTTAGCATATAAACCCCCGAATAACCTCCACATCCTGATGCTGAAAAGTATGCTACACACACAATCCCCCCCCCCACACTCATGAAAAATAAAGAGAAGGAACTTCAAAGCCAGCCCATGGCAATTTTCAATTAAAAACGCCTACAACGCGACTGCTTTCGCATACTTCTGCTGCCATAGAATTTTTGTGTGTGTTTTTGTTTCGCTTTGTTTGCCCTGAAAACCCTGCCTGCGGCGGAAAATTCCCCTGAAAATCTCGTTCTCTCTCTGTGGCACTCTGGAAAATTCTCGATAGGCATAGGCACAGCAGCGCATAGCTTTAATGTTGAGCTTGGAGCCATTCTGCAAAAATATCACGACATGGAATTGCACTCGCACTGATGGAGATTACAGAAATATGGCCCCAGGCAATGTGTCAAGTGTCGGAGATTCGTCGTCTGTGAGTTCTGCCAGTTTTCCAGTTTTTCATCCGCGGAGAACTGGTCCTTCTGAACTTGGTCAAGTGTGGGCTTCTCTGTGTGTGCCAGCAGCTGCTCAGGAAGTTTTCTTCTCACTGGGCCCTCTTTTGGTGGCCCTAATGTTGTGCATTAGCCTAAATTGAAGCTTCTTATCTGGGAAAAGGTTTAATAAACTGGGGTACTACAAAAATATTACAATCTTTGAAATTCGAGGCTATGAAACTATAATGTTGTACATTAGCAAGGATTAAAACTGATTGGAAAATGAGGGGTATCCTAAAGTATGCCGTGAAATAATGACTGTCGCCTTTTTGTATGAATCCTTAGTACTTTCGTATTCATAAAATGTTGTTGCATACTTTTAAATAGCCCTTAGTTGCTTTTTATATAGTGGCCCCCCCAATAAACTTTACATTTTATAAATTTATTGTAGAGCCAGTTTTAGCAATACTGGCAAAATTCCTTAAAATGTCGTCTTAGACTACCTATTTCATGCTATCGCTAATAACTATCTTAACAAAACCATAATATTATTTAGAATTTATGATTTGAAAGGTAAATAGTTGTTAATGTTATTTAAAAGCCCCCGATTAAGAATCCGTTCACCTGTAAATGTGGCTTATAAATATTCTTTAAGTTAAAATGTTCTCAAAAGCACATTAAATTAGATATGGTTGCTAAAAAGAACTATGGGATATCTGGAATTTTTTAATCAATTATATTTGTAGAGCTTAAGGTACAATTTCTAAGTGAAACAATTATAATACAGATATATTTACATATATATAGATCTAATTTAAGTATACAAAAACACAAACAGATGACAGTTGAGTTCTTAGAAGCAGATTAAATCAGATCTGGTTGCTAAAAACGGACTATGGAATTTCCATTATATTTTTTATAGATTTTAAAGTATTTCTTCGAATCAAGTTGATATTGACAGATAAGTTTATATTTGTAGAGCTTAAGGTATAATTTCTTAGTGATACAATTATAATACAGATATATTTATATATAGAGATCTAATTTAGGTATACACAGTTCTTTTTAAAGGCTCCCAGCTATTGGTGAACTATTTCATTTGGATCCTTACTAATGTTTCCTCATCTTTCTGCCCCTTTCAGTCGCGCACATCTCTGGTGTCCAGTTCGGAGGGCGGCATCCTGGCCGAGGGCGAGACCTCCAGCGAGGACGACGAGGAGGAGCCCGTGGAGGCGGAGGACGAGGATGAGGGCGAGGAGAGCAGCCGGGATTCCAGCGACAATTCACCGCCCTGCGACCTGGGGCTCATGGAGCGCCTCCTGGTCACCCATCCGATGTGGTTCCTGCCCGGCATCCAACGATCCGGGGCCGTACATCTGCTCCAGGGCAAGGAGGAGGGGGTGAGTGTCCTGGCGATAATTATTAATTTATTGATTTAGCTTAATAAGGCAATTTGGTGAATCGCGAAACACACACGAGAGTGCGGTAAATTAACAAACACATGTGACCGCACAAATTTGCACAACAATGAGGGCAGAAAACACAAACAAAAACGAAAACGAATTCACATAACAGCAAAAGAAAAAAAAAACAAAAACAATTGGGGACTCATTCATGCGGTGCAAAATTTACATATACAAATTGCAATCAATTAACGAGCAGCGGGTCCTGCGATGTCCTCTGATGTCCTGCGTATCTGCCACACGTGGCAGGGGAAGATTCATTAATATTACGACAGGACAACAATGCCAAGCCCTTTTAATTGTAAATGTATAAAGATAAACAAAGAAATGTAGCCAGGACCAGGACCAGGACGAGAACGAATACGAAAACGAGGACTAGATACAGGACTCTGCTGCGTTTGCAAATTCATTGAAATTTATCTGACTCGAGCAGCAAATGGTAGACAATGGTGCCGAAAAAAAGATGGTAATGGATGAAGAAGAACCCCTGTACATAACCAGTATGAGAAACGAGAAACGAGCACCCATTCACAAAAGGCGACAAAAACAAAAGCCAAGCAGGCAATGGTCAGTAGGCAGGGATTGATAAAAAGGAGCACAAGCTGGACTGTAGATGATCCAGGACCTGGAGTCTGCACTGCGGAAAAAGAGACTATCTAAAAATAACGAATAAAAGAATGAAATTCGTATATCACTAAACATATTAGGGGTCTAGGGTCTTAAAATAACTTTTAAAAGTAGTTCAAGGTGTCTAAAAGTATGCAGTGAATAAATAATAGTCGTCTTTCTAAACGATTTCAACGTTATTCTGCGTTTAAACTATATTATTGCATACTTTTAGGCACAAAAAGTTTTTTAAAACCTTAATATGTTTGGTGATATACGAATTTTATTATTTTATCCCCAACTTTTAGATAAATTCATTGAGAATATTGATAAAATTATTCGCAGGCAAAGTTTCGTTTTATTTTTATTCATTCAGTGTCATACAAATTCTCTTAGTGTAGAAAGAGTGGGCTGACCATTTTGTGATTCAAAGCCCTTTGCATAGACAATTGAAATTACGGGAACCCTGTGGAACTGGCAGATAGAATAGAACAGGTAATGGCTAAAAGCCAGGACGAAGGATAACAGAGAATATAATGGAATGTCCAACAAATTGTACAGATTCAATAAGGTAAAGTCCCGCTCCAACTTTAACTTGCAGACTGAACCAGCAATTATCACGTGTTCGCCGATTGGCAGGAAACTCATTACGGTCGCAAAGTATTTACCCCCCTTTTTCCAGATTTTTTCCATTGTTCAATCTGTACTTTTAACTCGTCTATAAAACAAACCTTGTTTATTCTCAACTTTAAGTGAACTTACCAGGAAATTAGTTAAGAGAAAGAAAATTAATGCATTACTTTAAAAAGTTTTCTGTACTCTTGAAGAACTTCTTTGTAACTGATCAATTAATAACACCTTTTATTAAGAAACTGTTTACAAATTCAAAGAAGAAAGTTACAAAAACAATACCTAAAGTATAATACTTTGTGGAACCTACAATAGTAAGGGGAATACCCCACAGGCACTGGAAAATCGGAAACAGCACGCACATTCTTTATTTGAATGAATGTGGAGCATTTTCTCTGGTTCCCTCCATTTTTCCTGCCAGCTTAGCAATTTTCAATCGTCGAACGCGCCGTAACAATGGCTCATTGATTGCAACGTCGGCCGGTTTTTCCCCTTGCAAAGGACCACTCCAATTTTCAACCTCCCCTCTGGGACACTGCAAAAAAAAACATGCAGTATATTCCATACATATATATATAGTATGTAAGGTAAAGGCCTATTACTTCGACGGGGTCCGATTTCTTAATGTAATTCTGTAATGTAATTTAAATCTCGCTTTGCTGCTTGAATATCTCCATTTCCCTTTGGTCCCTTTAGCTGAGTAACGGGTATCTGATAGTCGAGGTACTCGACGAATGAGTATTTTTGACCAAAATCTGAATCCCAAAAAAAACCGAGCTACCCCCTTACAAAAAATGAAAAAATTTGTCAAAAAATAAATCTTCCTTAAAGTGATGGCGATCGATAGCAATTGAAGCAAGCTGCTCAAAACTGTCGGTCTTTTCGCTGTACGCCTTGATTTGACTAAACTACGACTTAAAAACCACTAAAAAATTAGTATTCTTTGACCAAAATCTGAATCCCAAAAAATCCGAGCTACCCCCTTACAAAAAATGAAAAAATTTGCCAAAAAATAAATCTTCCTTAAAGTGATGGGGATCGATAGCAATTGAAGCAAGCTGCTCAAAACTGTCGGTCTTTTAGCTGTAGGCCTTGATTTGGCTAAACTACGACCGAAAAACCACTAAAAAATGACATTTTTTGACCAAAATCTGAATCCCAAAAAAAACCAAGCTACCCCCTTACAAAAAATGAAAAAATTTGTCAAAAAATAAATCTTCCTTAAAGTGATGGGGATCGATAGCAATTGAAGCAAGCTGCTCAAAACTGTCGGTCTTTTCGCTGTACGCCTTGATTTGACTAAACTACGACTTAAAAACCACTAAAAAATTAGTAATTTTGACCAAAATCTGAATCCCAAAAAATCCGAGCTACCCCCTTACAAAAAATGAAAAAATTTGCCAAAAAATAAATCTTCCTTAAAGTGATGGGGATCGATAGCAATTGAAGCAAGCTGCTCAAAACTGTCGGTCTTTTAGCTGTAGGCCTTGATTTGGCTAAACTACGACTGAAAAACCACTAAAAAATGAGTATTTTTGACCAAAATCGGAATCCCAAAAAAACCCTTACAAAAAATGAAAAAATGTGTCAAAAAATTAATTTTCCTTAAAATGATAGGGATCGATAGCATTTGAAGCAAGCTGCTCAAAACTGTCGGTATTTTAGCTGTATGCCTTGATTTGACTAAACTACGACTGAAAAACCTCTAAAAAAATGAGTATTTTTGACCAAAATCTGAATCCCTTTACAATCTCGCTTTGCTGTTACCTAAACTTAATACGAACTAAAAATGTTTGTGAACTAAAATTCGTTTTCTCAATGTGATGTTAATTTGAAAAACGGCAAACCTTTAGAGAACCTGAAAAAAATAAGCAAAATTCTTGTGGTCAACTTGGTTTATCGTCCGTTAAATTTAACTAGAACATTTCTTTTAGGTAAGAGTCTTAATACAGATAGAAGCTAACATGGTGTTGAGGAACTGCATTCAGCAATTTAACTCAATAGAGATAAAGAAAGTTCTTAAATAATATGATATTTCTACGTTAAAAAGAAAAAACGTAGTAATAACGACTAAATGGTTTCCAAAACGGTTTACCAAGCTCAACATATTTTTCAATAATTAAAAATTCTCTTAGATAAATTAGACTTTTAAGGTTTCTCCACTTTCTTTTTGCTGTGTAGAGGGTACTTGTGGGGTATAGAAAGTTTTTCGCCAACTTTTGCATTTTGCTGCTTGCTCTTTCAGTGGCGTCGTGCCTCGGAAATTGTCTGCAGTTCCACCTGCCACATGCCACACCCCCTTTTCGAGCCCCCTTTTCTATCCATCGGATGCTCCTTTTTCCATCGATTGCTAATTGCATGCGTCAACGGTAGCAAAAGTACGTCGTTGGTAACGGTGTGCTGCCTCAATTATACGGCAAACGCTTCGGAAAAGTCCTTAAATCCCCATTAGGATGCAGGACCTCGACTGCGCACTCCTCCTTCGCCAATTGTTTATGCGTTTAATAAAAAGCCATTTAATTGAAATTGAAGTAGTCCCCCAACCATTTGGTTTGCAATCGGATTCGTTGGCTATATGTGCATGCGTAGTTTGTAATTAAAAATCAATCAATATGTTCGAACTGGACACAGTGCATTGTGGCGTCATATGGCTGTGAAAGAAGTGCCGATCCATTTTGCCTGCCTGGTATTTTAATTACTCGTTGTACCGTATCGCATCCAAAGTTTAACAGATTTTTTCCCTGCTTTGTTTGCACATCTCTTGTGATTTTTTTTCCGGATACCTTTCACATCCGACTGCCCTGCCCCCATTGCCATCAATCATAAATATGCGTGGTGGGTCACATGTGTGCGTATGTCTCGAATTTCCATTGCCCCCCCAGTTCATATATACATATAGGTTTTTTTTTCGCCCGATTTTGCCCCGGGATTTGTTATGCCGACCACAGAATGTAATTAGCAGCAAATGTCGATGCTTTATGGACCAAACGATGAGTGGGAGTTGGTCAACAGCTGGGGCAACCATTTAATGTCTGGGTAAACGGCTGAAGAGGGAGTTTGATTGGGTGATTGGGTAGTGGATTGGGGATTGGGGGATTGGTTCACTTCCGACATCATTAGCGCTCGTCACCTGTACAGTGAACGATGGATATTTGATGACCCTAGAAGATTAAGTATTTTCATCAGTTCTAAATGCTCAAGATTCTAGGGATTAAATAATGTTCCTAACAAATTAAAATGACATGTTTTTATTGTTCTTGAATCAAGTTGAATTGGCGGTACTTACATTGTATATCTCAAAAACTAAACCATTAGATCAGTCATTACTATATACTTATTAAAAAGTTGTTAAATAAACTTAGTTTAACTTTTCTCTTCTTACCATTTTGTTCTAATATTGAGAACATTGATACCAAAATGTATTTACACGGTTTTCAAGAACGAATGTTCTCAATTCAAGAACAATGTACTTGAATATTTCTCTCTGTACATATATTATATAATATTTATATCGCTTTGATGTAGATATATATATATTAGGATATGTCATTTGGAGCTAAGAAATTTCAATCATTTCAATATTTGTTCGTGGTTTAAGTAAATAAAACTACATTTTCAATTGAATTGTCAATTTGTTTTTTATATTTGTTACCTTGAAATTTATTAATTTATCCTTTGTTTTATAAAGTAAATTTGTACAC